CTCTTTCACTGTTGGTGGGAGTGTAGACTGGTGCAACCACAATGAAGATCAGGCTGGAGACTCCTCAAAAAGCTGGGATTGGAAGTCCCATTTGACCCAACTATTCTGCTTCTAGGCATATTCCCAGAAGAACTGAAAATATCATACCACAGTGATATATGTGCACCCATGTTTATAGCAGCACAATTTGTAATAGCCAGATCTTGGAAACAACCTAAATGTCCATCAACTGAGGAATGGATAAAGAAGTTGTGGTATTTTTATACAATGGAGTACTACTCAGCTATAAAGAATGATCACATTGGTATATTTATAAATAAATGGATGCAGCTTGAGACCATACTTATAAGCAAAATAAATCAAGCCCACATGTATAAATACTATATAGTGTCTGTAGTGTAAGAAATGGTAAGAGTACATAAATGTTTATGGTAATCATGATTCTCCATTACATTGCTCTGAAGCCTTATAATGTTTGCATTCATTAGATGGAACGGTTTTATTGTGGTTTGCTTGATTTTATTATGTGTGATAGAATGAACAGCTATTTTGAAGAAAAGAAGACATTATAATAGCCAGTGCTGATTTAATATCATCTTGCTCTGAAGTGCTAGTATGTTTTTGTTTTTGTTTCCTTTGGTTCTATCATGTTATACCTTATTGAATATAATTATGTGTGATAGTACAAAAAAATTTTCTATGGAAAATGAGATAATATAGTAGCCATTGTTTGCTCTGTTATTTGGTTCTGAAAGCCCTGTAATGCTTTCATTCTCTTGAATGGTTTTATACTGTTTTGTTATGTTTGATACTATTGTATATGATGTTATGCTCAAGTATTTCTCATCCTAAGTTGCAACATGGCCAGATTTCAGGAGACACTGTTGATTTTCCCCAGGAAGGGCCACAGCCAGCCACACCACCGTCGCTTACCAGGGAGGGGAGCTGCTTGCTTGGTTTTCCCAGCATCTGATGGAAGACTGCTGAGGTCTTCTGTTTGGATGAGAGGTCACTGAGTTTCCTATCAACACAGCATGATTAATCCACTGCAGTCCAAGGTTCTTAGCAGGGAGGCAGGCTGGTTGCTTGGTTTCCCACCTTTGTAGTTCCAATGTGGTGTGGATCTCAGATGACACTGGTGGTTCTCCACCTGGAGGGGACATAGTCTGCCACACTGCAGACACTTACCAGGAGGGGAGCTGCTTGCTTGGTTTCCCAGCATCCTAAGTTCCAACATGGCATGGATCTCAGGAGACACTGGTGGTTCACCCCCTGAAAGGGCCACAATCTGCCACACCACCGCTGCTTACCAGGGAGCTGCTTACCAGGGAGGGGAGCTGCTTGCTTGGTTTCCCAGCGTCCTAAGTTCCAACATGGCGAGAATCTCAGGATACACTGGTGGTTGTCCCCTTGGAAGGGCCACACTCTGCTATGCTGCCATTGCTTATTGGGGGAAGGGGGAGCTGCTTGCTTGGTTTCCCAGCATTCTAAGTTCTTTTTTTTTTGTTTATTTTTTTAATTTTATTTAAGGAGAAAAGAAAAAAAAAGCAGGGAAAGGGTACAAGTTATACAGATTTACAGAAAAAAAATGAACAGTAGGAAATCACTAGTTAATGGATTACATATTGTCATCTTAGAAATAATTGTTGAAGTCACAAAATTAAAGCTTGTAAAGTGGACATTCCATCAATGATACTGCAAACAGTTCTGTTCATTGATCCAATAAAACTCTGTGATATCATTTTCTATCTTATACACTTAAATATACATGCAGTTATATAGTTTGGAGCACTTTCTTTTCCTCTCTTTTGTACCATGACTATTACACATTTTGGGTTTCATTGCTCCCACGGTTCTTATTACTTTTTTGGAAGAGAGTAAAACCAAATGTGACATAACAGAACAGAATCGGTCAAGTCAAAAGGGTGGACATAATAGATAATGTAAAAACATAATACAAGGTGATCAACAATGGTTACCATAATGCCTCCCGCTATCTCTAATAGAATTGCCTATATCGTTAGTTATAATACAATTGAACAAAACAGTAAAGAATAAAACCGACAAAACCAAAACATTGGAGACATTGTAGGTCTTCAAAAGTAGATAAAAGTCAACAAGAATGGGCATCATACTGAATCTCATTATCTTCACAGCTGATGCCTAAACTTTCGAACCTGATACTATCCAGCAAAACAGAATAGGGGAACATCAGTTAAAAACCAGATGGTGAGAGTAATACAGGGCTTTAAATCAAGGTAATGAAAAGTCAAAGTGGGTTACTATAACATATCCTGCTATTTTTTTCCTTTAATTAAAAGGATAAAGATAAAAAAGTAAATAATGGAGTGGAGATTGAGATAAAAGAGGGCATAACAACGAAACAGTGCAGATCAAAACATAACCATTTAAGCAGAATAGTGATTCACCACCAGATAATCCTAACTTAAAAGTAGTTACCATATTGTTTCTTTCTTTGAAATCCTTGAGTACAACTTCGTATACTGTAGCATTAAGTATATCAAAACAATGTAAAACCATTCAAGAGAATGACAGCATTACAGAGTATTTAGAATTGACTAACAGAAAATGAACAGTGGTTTCTGTATAATCTCCTTGTCTTTAAAAGGTTTTTGCTTATACTATCGTACATAATAAAATCCAATAAGATACAGCCTATTTAGACCATTGGAGACAGAAGGACAAAAGCTAGATGAGACTTCAAAACAAGATGATACTAAATCAGTATTACCTATTAAGATGTCATTTTCTCCAAAATAGCTGTTCCAATCATCCAATCTTCTCTGCCTCATTTCTGTTGAGCTCTTTTTCTGTCAGTAGCTGTCAGTTTGTCTTCTTCATTTTGTTCTCTGCTCCATTCGTTGTGGCCTCTCTGCCATTATTTCTGGATTCTTTGTATTTTTCTTTTTTTTAGAATATCCTGCCATACTCTCTGTAGAGTTGAATTGGTGGTTGCAAATTCCCCCAGTTCCTCTTTATCCTGGAAGCACCTTGTTTTTCCATCAATTTCCAGGGACAGTTGTGCAGGATATCTCAATCTTGGCTGGAGATTATTATCTTTCAAAGCTTGAATTATTTCCCCCCACGCTCTTCGTGATTTGATGGTTTGTGCAGAGAAATCTGCTGTAATTCTGATGGGTGTTCCCTTGTAAGTGGTCTGTTTCTTGTCTCTTACAGCTTTTAATATTCTGTTCTTGTATTGAATTTCTGGAATTTTGATTATTATATGCCTGGGTGTTGCTCTGTTTGGGTTGTAGGTAGCTGGGGTCCTGTATGCCTCATACATCTGAGTATCTTTACCTTTTGCTAAATTAGGAAAATTCTCCTGGATTATTTCTGTGAGTAGCTTTTGTAGTTCCCTTGTTTGTGTCCCTACTTCTTCTTTTATGTTCTTAATCCTTAAGTTATGGCTCCTCTTATCATCTTCTTGTCTTTGTATTATTGCTGTTTGTTTCTTTGTTATTTTTAAGAAGTTTTTCATTTCATTCTCCCATATTACAAGTCTGCCCTCCAGTTCAGATAGTCTGTCCTTAGTTTCTTTCAAGCTGTTATGCCAGTCTTCGATAGACTTCTTAGTATCTTGGTAGTCCCTTTGAACCTGCTTCACGTACTCTATGCTTTCTCTGTTTTCTCCATCAAACAATTCTCCCCTTTTTTTCTGTTCTTCCATTCCACCACCTGTTTTTTCTTGGGTGGTACTTAGCATTTCTCTAACTATTCTGCATACTTCTAGCTTCAGGTCGTTGATAACTTCATTCCTGAATTGGTCTATGAGGCTCTCTATATGGTGCCTTATGTGTATTGGTGCGGTGTCTGCTATTGCCTGTTTCTCAGAATTGGGGGCCGAAGAGCCTTTCTTGTTGCTGCCTCTTCCCATGCTGCCTCTTCTTCTCTGTTCCTTATATATGCAAGCTTATATAAGAGGCCCAGCTTCTCTCCCAGTCAGCCACAGCCTGATCGAATTGCGCCAGTTAGTTGTTCCCGCTCACCGCTGCGCACCAGGGAGTTACGGACCAGGCAGCCTACACGTCTCCCCTCCTGGCCACCGTCAGGCTCTGGGATCTGGGTTGGGACAGTCTACCAGGTCCGCCGGCAGCGTCACGCAGGCCAGGCACTTTTCACCAATCCTGCCCGAGAGGGGGATGTGTGGCTGGAGTCACCACTGCGCCCTGCTCCCGCAGGACTGCTTGGGCCCAGAAAGTCCTCTGCTGGAGTCAAACTGTGGTAGAGTGTCAGTTTCTCTCACTCACCTCGCCACAAGTCAGTGCACGCCTCCCTGCCGTTCGCAGATTGCCGTTCTCAGAGCTTCTGCACGTCTCTCTCCTTGCCGAGCCACTGTAGAGGCAGCCAGCCCCCGCGCGGCGGGAAACCCAAATCACGGCTTACAATGGCGCAGGGTCCAGCCTCCACACCGAGGCTTTTCTGTTCCTGTTTTAGCACCAGGACTGCATTCCAAGTTGGTTTCTCTCAGCCCAGTTCGTTCCTGAGTCAGCAGAGCATATCTCCACCTGCTTATGTCTCCTTAATCCGCACCATTCCTGGCTTCTGAGCCGAGTCTTTCAGAGAACCTCCAGTAGTTGCTGTTATCTGTCCACCATGTTCTCCCGGAAGTTGCATTCTAAGTTCTGACATGGCACGGATCTCAGGAGCTGCTGCTGGTTCTGCCCTGGAAAGGCCGCATTCTGCCACACTGCAGCCATTTACCAGGGAGGAGTGGTGTTTGCTTGGCTTTCCAGCTTCCTCTACTGATGGTCTTGTGTCCCACAGCAAGCAGCAGGACAGCATGGGCATGGAAGTGGCAGTCTCAGGGGCTAACCTTGTGCACCACTGATGGTACTGTGTCCAGCGAAGGGCAGCAGGATGGTATAGGCATGCCTAACAGCACATTTTTAAACTTGGGGATTTGATATGTACCTATCTACATTGTAAGGTACAAGCAGTGGGCTTTGCTTCTTATCTTTTTTGCCTTCTCTCTACAGTGGATCTGGATTCTTTAAAGGTTTTGCCTTTGCCAGGTGGCAAAATGTTGAACTTCATCAGCAGAGGGCAATGAAGTAACATGGCAGGAAGAAAGAACATTTGGTTCACAAGTCAGTGTGCTTGCTGGCTAGCATCCTGCACTGGGATTTCTGCATGGCCTTGCTGCTGACAAGCATGCTGCTTTTCCACACCATCCCTGGAGCACAAGTGACTTATGCAGCCTTTGCTTCCCATGGCATAGGTAACGTGTCCAGAGTCAGGCTCCTGCCAAGCACGCAGTTTCTCCAGCAAGCATCCCTTGCAGCACAGGCTAATCAGCAGTGCTCAACTGCTGCCTCTGGTGAGATGTCTACATGTGCTTAGTTTTGTTTTATTTTTTGTGATATGTCAAATAGTAGAGGTCTAAGATCAATTATGTTAATACAACAAATTATATGTTTATGCTTCAATATTTTAGTATATGGGGGGTTCCAACAGCGTGACCTGAGCATCCTGGTGAGGACCACAAGACAAACATGGCAAAAGAAGCATAAGTGCTAGAGAAAAGCAAGAGGTTCTGACCATTATTTTTCTTTGAGTATTGGATGCCTGTAAGGTCTTAGGTATTCTACTTTTACCTAAACTTCTGCAAAGTTTATTTTATTACCTGTAGAACTTGACTCATAAAGAAAGAGAATAGTAAAGAGAGGACAGCTATTTTCAGGACTGAAGAAATACAAAAGCCTGGCTTCATCTCTGTCTGAGGTCCTCTAGGACTGGTGGCATGCCATTTTTGTACCTCATTAGGGAGAGTCACGAAAAGAGATGTTCTTTGTATGCCAAATGGATTTGATAGGAGAACTAAAAGTTCTAGTTCTGTTGGACAGCTATTCATGAAAAGGTTGTGAGTGTTCACTTTTGAACAGAAAACCTGGTTAAATAGGAACATAACCTACAAACACCTTGGCAACAGATGAAAGCTAATGGACAGAGAGCCAGCTGTAGGAAGGTGCAGTGAGTGGTCTGCATTAGCCAGTTGGTCTAGTTAGTGTATGACAAATGCTTGACTATAAGTAATTTTCAGAGTTACTAGCCTGGCTTCTAATTACTCAGCATGCTCAATGCTGGTCTGAACGTCCATAGCAAATATGGGTAGAGAGCTTACTGCATGGCACATTAGTTTCCCAAACATATATTCACCTCCATCACTAATGTGTACATTTTTTGATTGCTAAGACCAAGCTGTATTGTTCAGAGGTGGGGAAGAAATTGCTTGATATGATCATTTATTCTCAAATCTTCTTTTTAAGTGGAAGAATGCCAGACCATGAAATGCCACTGTCCATGAAGGCAAGGGGTCTGAATTTGAGTTGTAAACTTCTAGATCTGCTGCTACTGAAATTATGGACACAGGTAGGAAAATTTTTTCCCAAATATTACTTTATCAGTATATAATTGGAGTACATGCAGTTTACAAGCATCTTGGGGAGTTGGTACATATACTTAACACAGCTTGTTTCTTTTTTTATCCCTTCCTCACCTCTGTCCCTCCTTCACTCTCTAGTTCTCCTTTCTCCCTTTATGTTTTTCTTGATTTTGTTACTCTTAGCTCACACTAATGGCTTATGATGTCTACATTCACTGAAGTTATTAGTATCTTGTATCTGGCATATCTTCACTGTACCTGTTTCCCCTTCCACACCCTAAGCTTATCCTGGATCTCTTTCCATTTGCAAGAGAGCCATCTTCTTGTCTGGAACTATCCTTGATTTATTTTTCTCTTAGTTTGTATTTTGCCTTACTCAGATCAGAGATATCATATAGTGTTTAAGTTCAAGTGTCTGATTTATGTCACTCAACATTATATTTTCTAGGTGCAACATTTTCCTACAAATATCTCAAATTTGTTCTTTATAGCCAGTGATATTCCATTATATATAGATACCACAATTTCTTTATCCAGTCATTTGTTGATGGATATGCAGGCTGTTTGCAGGTTTTGGCTATTATGAATTGAGGTGCTGTAAACACTGGTAAGATAAGATATATTATGGTAGCTATTTTGGATTTATTATTGTTTTGTTTTGAAGTCCCTTACTGCATTCATTGTTTTGTTTTTATTGGTTGTGTTCTGTTTTGTTTTTTTGTGTGTGTTTTCATATACTTTTGTCAGAGGAGTATGAGACTCACATTGGACTTTTAAATGAGTCTGATTTATGAATTCTCCTTGAGCAGAACTCAAGATGGGGAGTTACTGTGTGCATGTATTTTATTTTTCTTGAAGGTACTCTGAATAATATTGCTTTTATAATTTCCTTCTCACCAAGTTTATTATTGGTACACACAAATGCCAATGACTTTTGTTTGTTGATCTTGTATCTTGCTATGTTGCTGAAGTTGGAAGTAATTCTAAGAATTTTTTGGCTAAGGTCCTTGAATCTTCTGTGTAGAGTATCTTGATACCTAAATAATGATAATTCAAGTGCTTCTTTTTATTTCTTTCTCTTGCCTGATTGTTCTGGCTAGTGTTTCAAGTACTATGCTGAATAGGAGTGATCATTCTTTGTCTTGTTTCTGATGTTAGGGGGGATGCTTTTCATTGCTTTCCATTTTATATGATGCTAGCTCTTGGTTTGTCATAAATAGCTTTTTGAAAAGTCAAGTATGGTCCTTTTCTACTTGTTTTCTTCAGGGTTTTGTCATGAAGTGGTTTTGGATTTTTTTCAAAAGCTTTTCCTGCACCTATTGATAAGTTCATTTGGTTTTTGACCTTGTTTCTGTTTATGTGGTGTATTACATTTATTTTTATTTATTCATTTATTTTATTTTAAATAGGATAAAACCAAGCAAAATAAAACAGAATAAAACCAATCAAAATGAACCAGTGTAAATGATACAGGACTTCAAAACAATATGAAATCAATAATAGTTACCATAATGCCTCTTGTTGCCCTCAAAATAGCTATAAATACCTTCAGACATAGTAAAAATCAAACAGAACAGAACAGAATAGAACCAATAAAATAATGAATGCAATAAGAGACTTCAACACAAAACAATAGTAAGTCCAAAATAGCTACCATAATATATCTTATCTTTGAAAGAGCTGCTCATGCCATTGAATATATCAAAATCAAAAAGAACAAAACAGAATAAAACCCAACCTAATAAAACAGTAAAAATGACACAGGACTTCAAAACAAGATAATAGGGAATTAACAATGGCTACCACCTTCAGAGGGAGATTCCCCCATAGATGCCACACTGTGTTCTATTATCCTCTGAATAGATGATCAGAAAACCCACAAAGTCAATGAAACACCAAATACCAAAGCATCCAATTGCATGTCACCTCAATAGTTATCAACACAGCCTGTGTTTCTCCAGATTAGCTGGTCACTTACGCAGTGGGAGGCGGGATTTGGCTCTTCTTGTTTCCCAGCCTGTGAGCTGAAGGAGCTGGAATCTGGTTCTCCCCCTAGCAAGCTGTACGTGGTGCTGATTTACAGGGAAAGCTTGCTTCTTGATGACTTCTTGTTCTCTTACCCTACAGTATTCCAATAGCCCCAGGCTTATTTTTATTTTGGTTCTGTACTGCAGAGTAATGTGGGGAGTGCAGATGTGAATGTATGCAGTGAACAGTTATTTCTGCTGACATTTGTGAAGAATGTGATTTTGATGTATGAGCATAAAAGTCTCAGAAATGGCAGTCAAGTTTAAGGTGGAGATGAGGACACCAAGGGACAAAAGAGAGATTCTGTGCTACAGGGAGAACAACTGAGATAATGAGTTCTAATGGGCCAAAGTGGTGACCACGGTGGATCTGGATGAGAGGAAAGGATGGAGGATGAAATTGCCAGCTTGGTCATGTAGGTGCCAGGGGAGAGAAGCCCAGGAACCTGTGGTGGGGAGTGATGTGAGGCTAGAACAGAGAAAGTCTGCAAGGTGAAATTGGGGAAGTTTTATACAAGTTCTCTGAAATTCTATATTTGTTTTGCATGCATTGCCTGCTTCCCTGCTGAGGTGCAGATGAGTTCCCAGATGAGACTACCCTGGGATCCTGGCATTTTCTGCTTCACTGCTCCTCCTGCACTGTCCTCATCCTGATGTTCATCTCTTCATTATTTCAGGGTTTAAATCCTACTGTAGTAGGAGCTCCTGGTATACAGGAGCAGAAGGAAGGGGACTTATTGAAGGAGTCAGATGAGGCACAAAGTGAGAGAGAAATGAACAGAATTTCAGGGCCCTTTTCCAGGTTTCCCTTTGTGATAAACTTTGATAAACTGGGTATATCTCAAGGGTAAGGGTAACAAAGAAAATTAGTCATGTGCAAATATTCTGCTTTGGAAGTGAATGTGCTTTGTGTATTTATGTGTTGTCAAACTACATAAAGATGATGGTTATGTTGGGGCCAGGATCTTAAAATTATATTTTTTACTTTAGGAAAAAAGTGCAAATGTAAATCCAATGACTATTTGAGAGAGGAACTTTGACCTAAAGAGGAAATTTCATGTATTATTGTTTTGCTGACATATTTCCTGATGCCTCTGGACAAGTGCTCCCATATCTTAATTTTGTGCTCAGAGGTGGACCTGTGGTAAGTGGTCATGCTCAGGTGATGTGAGGTGCAAGAGGTCATTGAGGTTCCTTTTGAATTTTACCACACACTTTCTTCCATTTAGAAGTTGAAATAAAGAGAAGAGGGACAAGGATGAGGTTGCCAGGCAATAATAAATGTAAGCTTTAAACTACAAGTCATCTAACATATTTACAGAACATTTTATAGAAAAGTTCCAAAATTCACATTTTCTTCAGGTGAGCATATCCTATATTATAAAATAATACTTATACACATGGGAAATATTGAAATTCTATTATAGAACTTATTTGTTCACCTTGAATTGATGGTAGAAATTAACATTAGGAAAAAATTAAATTGTACAAAACCAATGAGAATAAAGAACACACTTTACAATTACCATTTGCTGTTCAGTAATGAAAAGCAGAAATTTACAAAAAAATTTCAACAAAATTAAAAGAAATCTAACACCAATGGGACACACGAATAGAAATAGCATGGCTAAGAGGAAAATCATGCAGTAAGTGCATATATCATAAAGAAGATTGAGTTGAACAAAACAACTGTGAGCTGAAAGACCATGAAACACAAGAATTAAGCAAGCTGGAAATTAGGAAAAGAAATAAGTACTGAAGTTGACAGATGAAATAAGTAAATGTAGTATACAGACACTACAAATCAATGAACACAAATGTTTGTTTTTTAAAAACACAAATAATATAGACATAACATTGGCAGTTCTAACCAAAAAAGTGACATACCTGAATGAAATTTAAAAAAAAGGAACATCATGACATCACATTAATACTGCAGCAACATGAGGAACCATCACACACTACTGTAAACTATTGCTCATAACAATTGTCACCAGCAAGAGGTTCTGGATGCAGTACCTCCCACACTGGGTGATTCAGCCTCCCAGGTCACCTGCTTCTGGCTTCCACAGGTGCCTCTGATGCTGCCTGACTGTGGTGCAAATGGTGTGGGGCATGCTGCTGAGGGCTGTGCTCTGTGCACAGACACTTCCTGTTCCTGAACCTGACATCTGTTTTATACACACAGCAGTGAGGTTCTCATACAGGGAAGAAGATCCCAGTTCCTTCCTTGGACTCAGGCACATAAGTGGTAATGTAAGACCTCTCCAGGAGAGGCAAGGAGAGGAAGATGATGGGGACTCAAGTGCCATCATGTGGAGCAGTGATCTGGGGCTTCAGATGAAATTAGGTGACTTTTTTGATGTTCAAAGAGGGTGACTACAGAGCCTTGTTCAGGAAGAGCTGCACATGAGTATACATTTGTTACTGCATTGTGACCACCTGTACTATTTGTACACCTTAAGAAATAGGGTGAAAATCACAGAGCCAGGAGAATAAATAGAGAAGGCCTCACAACCTCTGAGTTTGGTGTTCTCACTGGGCTCACCGACGACGAGTAACAGACTGTGACCTGGTGCTTCATTCTTCTTTGCTTCCCCCATGAAGTTATCTTTCCCTCTGCAGTGTTTCCCTGCTGTGACTGCCAGTAAAACCCACATCCTCATTCCTTGCTGTAGACTAGGGCCAGGTGACAAGTGTTCCATATGTGTACTTGACAAAAGGTCCTAGTGTAGAATGAGCGTGGTGTATCAGGCAAGATTTATATATTCTCCTGTGATGTTTTCACATTTTTTTATAATGTATATTAATACATGTATTTACCAAAATCTGCCATAGTGGTAGTACTTTAGGACTCTCTTCCCTGCAGAACAGACTCTTCAGGTCCCTGCTGCTAATATGAACCCCAGTGGAGGTCCTGGGTGGTTTCCTTGATCTGGTTCTGCATTAAGTGAATTAGA